GTTAACTATAGGTCTTACTGATTTTTCTTGTTTATGGAGCATAATGGTGCCGTATAACTGTGGTGCACTTGGGTTCATGTTTATGTATTTCCATTTTTCTTCTTTCTTTATAATGTTGCTGCATTTATTAGTTATTTTCCGTATTTTTTCTTGTTGTTTATTTGTAATATCTCTAGTTAGTTCTGTGAAATTATTGGCAGATAGGAATTCATAAATTTCTTATCGTGCTCGTTTTTGTGTAATATTACAAGGGTGTTGCCTTTGTCAGCTTTTGTTACTACTAGTTGGTTATGTTGTAGTTTTTGTCGTATTCTTTTCATTATGTGCCATTCTTTTTTTGCTTCTTTTATTTTATTCCTTTCATTTCTTGAATGTTGCATATTTATTAGTTTTTGTATATTATTAGCTACTAAATGTTGCATATAATTTTGTTCTTTTATTGGTAATGGTTTTATTCCTATTTCCACTTCTAATCCTAGTGTTTGTATCCAGTTCTTGGGTTTCACATGTAGGTTATATTTCAATCCTTTGTTAAGTAGTTATATTTCATCTTCTGTGAAGGTAATGTTTGTTAGATTTTCTGTTCTTTTAAAGAATATATGTTTATCTTCTTGTGGATTATTATTGTATCCTTTCCTACTTTCCTGTGTCTTCGTTGCCTCTTGTGCCTTTAATTTCTCTATTTTGGCATTGATTATTAGGTATTTTTCTTTCATTCTTATCTCTAGTTTATGTGAGATATTTCTATCTATTATGTCCCATATTTTTCTCCATCTTTCGCTATTTGTTTGTTTAAAAATTGCTTTTTCTTATAGCAAAGTTTTATTTCATTCTTTATTCTTATTTCTTGTATTTTATTAGTGAGGCATTGTTTCGTTGCTTTATTTTGTGAATTTATTCTGGTTTTTGCATATCTTGGTGTTAGCTGAAGATCGATACAGGTTCTGTTAAAGTGGATGTTTGCGTTGCAATTTAACAATTTGTGTTTTATATTCAGATATTTATTTATGCTTCTTGCCTGACAGGCATTTATAACTTTAATTGTTTCTTGCATCCTGTTGCGTATTTAATCAATATTAGAGTCAATTTTACCGACTACATAACATATTTTTATTGTTATTACACTACATGTTTCGACCTCAAGAGGTCATCCTCAGGCGTACGAACACAACTGTATAATTACACACAATTACCACCACTAATACCCTACAGAAAATTTATGAATTCCTATCTGCCAATAATTTCACAGAACTAACTAGAGATATTACAAATAAACAACAAGAAAAAATACGGAAAATAACTAATAAATGCAGCAACATTATAAAGAAAGAAGAAAAATGGAAATACATAAACATGAACCCAAGTGTACCACAGTTATACGGCACCATTAAGCTCCATAAACAAGAAAAATCAATAAGACCTATAGTCAACTGGAGAGAGTTCCCAGCATATAAATTAGCCAAACTACTAAACGTTATATTACAAGAAACTCTACAGCTGCCATATACATTTAATATTAAAAATTCACCCACCCTTATCAACAACTTAATGGAAAATGAAATAAACGAAACCACCAGAATTTGCTCATTCGATATTATTAACATGTATACTAATATACCGACAGACGAAGTAAGAAACATAATAAAAGATTTATTGAACAGAAACCACAACGGAAAGGACAAAGAGAAAAACGAAATAATAAGCTTACTCAACATTATACTTGAACAAAATTATGTAAACATCCATGAACGATATTACACACAGAACGAAGGATTAGCAATGGGAGCACCAACCTCAGCCATCCTATCCGAAGTGTTCTTACAATATCTGGAACACACGCTAATTGCTGACATCCTAAAGAAACATCATATTATTGATTATTATAGATATGTAGATGATATATTAATAATCTACAATATACAAAAAACAAACATCTTTAACACATTAAATGAATTTAATACAATGCACCACAAACTTAAGTTCAAAATGGAACAACAATCTCAAAATAAACTAAATTATTTGGACCTAAAAATCATGACAAATAACAACAAACTAAAATTTTAAATATACAGGAAGCCTACATCTACCGACCTCATACTACATAATACTTCATGTCATCCACACGAACACAAAAAGGCAGCTATCAACTACCTTTGCAATCGAATAAATACATATAAGCTCACCAACGAAGGAAAAATAAAGGAAGAAGGTATTATAACTCGTATACTTGTAAATAATGAATACTCACCATATGCGAGAGATCATAATATGAAACCACCTAATAACAACACTCCACAGAAGGATAAATGGACCAAATTTACATACTTCAGCCCCAGCATTAGAAGAATCACTAAGCTATTTTATAATACCAACATAAAATAGCTGTCAAGACAAATAATACAATAAAAAAGTTTCTAAGAACAAAACATAAAACAACAGATAAATACAACCTTTGTGGAGTATACCAAATGACGTGTAAAGATTGTGACCTAAAATACGTCGGCCAAATAGGACGTAATTTCCGAACAAGATATAAAGAACACATCAGGGAAATAAAA